ATGTTGACTACTGAAGCTTCAATAGTGGGGAAGAAAATCACACACATTTGCAGATGACACTGTACGTGCTGAAGAGGATTCTGTGATGACTTGTTCAAAGTGACAGGTAACATTATATTCAAGGTCCATCTTGGTAATTCAGCATCATATTTATTATAGGCTTCATGCCTTTTACCATTTCTCTGAAACTTTCACTTCAAACTTTTGTCAACATGTATTTTATGTATGGACATTATGAATTCACTTCAACAGAGCACATATAAGAACTGAGAGCTTTTTAAGGCCTAAAATAACCTTATTAAAGTGTTACAAAATCTCCGGCATTTTCACTTTTCGAGCGCACTTCCTAGTGTTTGAATAACTTTTATGAACTGACTGAATCAACAGTTGGAAATACCTCTCCAAGCTCCTCTTAGATCACATATTAAAAAAAAATTTAAAGCAAGATGTTTCAAATCCATACCTTTGGGGGATTGAGCAGAACTTTACAATTTTATATGAATTTGGCTTTAGATCTCTGTAATCATTCCAAAATCACAAATCGCTGATTCAGAAGCTTCAAAATTGTAATTTTCCCTGTTGGACAGGAATGGAGCAGGAATGCAGCTGGAACTGAGTGATTCTATTTCTTGCTGTCTTGCTGACTACAATGCTGCCACTTATGGAATCAGACGAGTGACTCACCAGAATCAAACAGGACTCTCGTGCCTAAGCCTAATGAGATGCCTTGTTAGGATCTAATGGCATTTTAATCTGTGCTCCAGCAATTAAGTCACTGCACTGTTTTCCTGCCAGACTGAAGGAGATCAGCAGCTGTAGAAAGGACAAATAGGATGTTACATCAATTAAAAGGTGCCTTTGCTTTACAGAAAAAAATTGCCACCTCCAGGTTTTGGATTCTCTCACTGGCTGTCTCAAGAATTTTCCTTGTGACTTACCTGCAAGCCTGTGGAGGCTAAAAATCACCCTGTCACTAGATGTAGCACAGTACAGATAGGAAGACAGTCTAATCAGAGAGGATAGTGTCATTCAAGTAGATCCATTCTTGCGATCTGAAATGGGTTGGCTTATAATGGGAAGACAACTCATAATACCATAGATGTAAACTTTAGACAGTTATCTGTTGAGGAATGAGCTAAGAAAAATAGATTGAACATTATTATTAAGAGGGGAAAGGATGGGTGGGAGAAACAGATTGTGATGAGAAATATTGTACAAAGCATAAAAATAGATGCATGCTACCAAGAAAGATGTGCAACATTAGGGAAAGGTGGAAACAATGACTATAATTTGGGTAATATATTGCTACTATCTGAAGACCAGAAGAATCTTCGGGAAGCATGAACTAGATTGAGCAACTACAGTAATCAGAAAAATAGTTTTTTTCTTTATTGACATAGTTGTGCTATGGAAATTACCTGGCTATTGGGGTGAGTGAACACATGACAGGATGTAGTTAGTTACAAGAGTAGTCTGCAATTTGAAAGTGAAAAATCTATAGAACATAAGAAATCCAAACATATAAATGTTTGGACAGTGGACATGATACATATCACATACACTACATCCACAAAACTGAGAGCAGTGGTTCAGAACTGAGAGACAAAAGACTGATGGGGAAAAGAATAAGCAGTGCCAACTTAAGTTACAGAAACAAACAAGAGTGATGCCGTTGACTTAGCTCAAACCTGCTGGGAATAACTTACTTTACTCAAATCTGACACCAAATGCTAAAAAATTAGAACTGAGGATTTCATCAAAGCTTCAATAATTAACCGGCCATCAGAAATACAATGAAGAAACCTAACACCCATTTCCCTTTCTCATCTTGGTCACCATATTTAAGAGATGATTGATTTGTACTGAAGGTGGTACAGCAAAGATTCACCTGTAGCTTCCTGCAATGAAAAGGTGTTGTTAAGAGACAGATCAAAGTGCATGTATAACTTTCTGGAGTTTAGAAGAATGGGAGGAGATCTTGTAGAAGTAAAAACAATGTTTAGGAGGGTCTTGACTGAAAGATTGCTTCTCTTAGCTAAGAAATAAGGACACAGCTTCATGATAAGGGATTGATCAATTAAGACTGTGATGAGGAGCTGTATCTTACTCAAAGGAACCTTAGAATTCTTGAAATTCGCTAACCCAGAGGGTTGTGGTGTCTCCATTATTAAGTATCTTCATGGCTGAGGCAGACAAACTTTTAATCTCTCATGGAATCATAGGGTATGGGGAATGGGCAGGAAAATAACATGGAGTAGAAGGTCAGCCATGATCATATTGAATGGTGAAACAGCTTGAGGAGACAGTTGACCTACTCCTGCTCCTATTTCTTATGTTCAGTTCGTGAAACTGTAAAACTCCCTTTCGTCTCAGACCTAAGCATAAACAAGTGGAAAATATCTACAATTACTCATTGGGCCAGAGGTCAACATAACCTGAGGCTAGAGGGATAAATGTAACCAGTGAATAAGTGTTCCCCTCAATTACTGTTAAGGGATTGGTTTCTGGAAGTAGATCCAGTTGATTGGAAGATATAGTTTCTTGATCAGTAGCACCAGATCCTCAGACATTTAAGGCAAATAAGTGGATTATTTTGAAAGTTCACAATTGCTAGGATACAAATTACTCACCTGGTCACTGCTGTGACAAGTAGGGATAATTTCACCTTAAAAATAGACTGTCTCCATCACCAAAGCATCATATCTGCAGTGGAAACAGTATCACCCTCGGTATCTCAGGTTCCTCCCACACAATGCATCATCCTAACCTGGACATAAATTAGTATTCCTTCATTGTCACTGTGTCAAAAATCCAGAATTCACTAGAGAACATCATGAGAGCAGTAGGCCACTTCTACTGGGGAAGATTACATCCCAAAAATGAAAATGATGGTAGGGTAATTTATGCTGCTCAAGTACAAAAGCTTCACTACATTAGTCCATATACAGTGATGGAAAGGTGAAAACAACAAGGTTGACTATGCAATTTTCATATCTACTGAACCAATCTAAGCACTAAAAAAGCTAAAAACTTAACCTCACACGACCCCAAATATCATATTTGCTCCAAAGATAGGAAAAGAAGGTGAAATGTTAGGTCTGTTGTTACATAATAAATTAGGTTGTTCAATGCTTGAAGGCAATTCCATACAGAAATACCAAACTAGGAAACTGTTGCTAGGCTTGCTGTCACTGTTGCTGAAAAAGCCAGGCTGTGCAAAGCAGCTGAGACAAAAGGTAAACATGGGCAATATGTCAACATTTATCCACTATCCCAGACAAGGGAGAGAAAGCACATAGTTGGAGAATTGTAGAAAATGCATATCCAGAACTTGTGGGAATAGATGGTGGTGTTGTCCTTAAAAAAGACATGACAAAGTAACTCTACCGGATGATAAACAGATTGTCAGAGTTTGATTCCTCTCCGATACCTTGCACTATGGAGATCCTGGAGATTCTAGTGGGTAGCAAGTATCTGACAAATCCAATCTTGAAATAAGACAGATGGTACTAAATGTTGAGGCCCAGTCATGCTCTGTATTTGTTACACCATCAGAAATGTACACGTTTACAGTCAGGCATTTTGGAATGAAGAATACATACATTCTGTGCTAACACTGGTTGATCATGTTTTGACAGCAGCCAGAAATTACTCGCTGGTATATATTGCTGATATTGCAATTTTCAGTGGGAGATGGGACAAGTACTTCTTTCATGTCACCAACAGACAAACCAAGTTGAGCCAAGCAGGATTAGCTGCTCAGGTCAATAAGTGCACCATTTTCAATTCAATAATGCAATATAATTTTTTGAGATGAGCAAAAACATAACCGTAAAGATTACTTAAGAGTTTGGATATACCACAAAATAATATGGTAAGTACGTTGTCAATCTGTACTAAAAATGTTACGCAGTACAATTTCGCAGTGAACAATTGTCTGAGTGCCATTGCTGGGGCAAACATCAGTTCAACCACTTATCCATTTTGGTCTCAGTGTTGTCACAAATGCTAACAGAGCCAACAGTGATTAAGACAGGATGCTCTACAATGACCGCAGCTGGTTCAGCTGCAAAGTGGTTTATGTGACAACGGCATAATCTTTCCGGTCAATTGTTAAAAGACTACCAGTTGGCAATTCTGTAATACACGTGCAATTAATTTGTGAATATTATTTTAGATTTAAACTTCCATAAATATAAAGCAATCTGAACTTATAAAGTAACAGAAACAATTGGTGAGCAGCTTGGACTTCACAGTCATTTGTTTGCAGTCCATTAATATTGATTTACATTGTACTAGTTCTATTAAATGTTTTATTTATGACTGTTTCAGCAGTGCAACCCAGAATAAAAATAATCACTGTCTAGATTAAAACAGTCCAGTATTGAAATCGGTAGCTTAATTCACTGGTGGAGATACTAGAAAAACATCAGAAGTACAGCAAGCAGATGGACAGCACCCAAGGCTCACTGGGGGGTTATAACGCTGTAGCTTTTTTTGGCAAATCCTTGCAGCACATAGCACATCTATGGATTAAGAATGGAGATCATTTATACCCTTCACAAATCCATTACTGATACACTGTTACAAAATTTGTTAAAATATTCTCTTTGTGAACAAATTAACAGCTAAGCAGCATTTTCATAATATAGCTATGCTGTCATCCATAATATGGGAAATCAGCTCTTGTTCAAATGATGTTTAAAAAAAACCCTGCGAATTCACAAAAGAATGGGCAATATTATAGCTTGTAGTTTTGAGCATTAATTATGTGCTGTCTATTTAAGTCAACTAACCGAAATGATGAAGTCCATGAATTCAGCAACAGATATAAATCATGGTCAATGCTGATTGTTTTATGACAAATCAATGAGATGACTGTACCAAGTGGAGCTTGTTGATTGTCCTTACTAGCTGGTTAACACCTTATAGTTTTTCCATCCGATCTTCTCTTTGAACACATACAACATATCCACATTTGGTCCACATTGCAGTCCGGCTCCATAAAATATTTTGCTCATTTGAAGCTGTTCTTGAAGATCAATGTCCTTGGCAAGTTTTACAACACATCTGCCTGAAGTAGGGCCTACTGCAGAATTTAAATTTTAGCACCAGTGGGCAGTAAGCGACTTTATTCACATCCCTGCATTCTGCAAAATGAAAACAAACCATAATCAAATTACAAACCTCTTCGCTACAAGGTGTGGTTAGGTTAACAATGTTGAGAAAAGAAAGAGATATCCCCACCTATTAATGCTGTTACATCTTCTTCAACGCAGCACATCCTTGGCACAAGCACCACTGATCAATATTATCAGAGGCTTGTAACAGCATAAATTTCACCCAAATCTTTTTTCTAATGTTCTGATTGGGAAGGATTGATTGCATTGGTGGCAGGTTTACTTGGTAGATTTTAGCACTGTGGTGTGTGTTATTGAGGGATTATTGGGGAATTAATACTAGAGTGGGGAGGTATTGCACCATAGTGGGAGGCTGTTGGAAGGACTAATCCTGTGATGAGGGTCTTTAGGTGTTAGGGTTTCAGTGCTCTGACAGCGACTTATCCAAATAGTATTAAGGTGTGGGTCTTACTCTGAGAATTAACTTGCTGAGCGGGCGGGCTTACAAGGAGGATTAATCTAAATTAATTTGATGAGGTGGGGGAACAGTACAAGGAGGTTAATGTTGAATCAGAGATAGTAGGAACTGCAGATGCTGGAGAATCCGAGACAACAAGGTGCAGGGCTGGATGAACACAGCAGGCCAAGCAGCATCATAGGAGCAGAGAGGCTGACGTTTCGGGCCTAGACCCTTGGTAAGGTTAGGTTCAGTGGTAGATATTGGAGGTAGGGTCTGGTTGTGCGACGACCTAGGGAATGACACACTTAGAGCATAATATTGTTATGTATATCTGTGATGGGCCCAGCTGTCAACATTAATGTCAATGGCAACAGTAACCACAAAAGAAAGAGTTAATAGCTAACCGAATAAACCTGACAAAAAGAAAATTGGCACTCTGTCCAATTAGGAGGTAGTGCTTCCCTCATGTTTGCACCCCAGTACCTCCTACGACCACATAACGCTTTTGTTAATCATCTGAAGCCAAAGTTTACCGGAGGTGGATGAGAACGTGGAGCTGATTATGATTTTCTTGAAGGACAAGTCAGTTTCATGGGGCTGAATGGCCTACTTCTGCTCTGAACTCATATGTGGCTGTGGAAAGGGGAAGGTGTGGTAGCTCTGAAAAAATGTGGCCCGTAATCATATTCAGCACAAAGGAACATGATTGTGGTTGCTGGAGTTAATCAGCTCAGCTTCAAGACATCTCTGCAGGAGTTCCTTAAGGTAGTGTCCTAGACCCAACCAACCTGACCATCAATGACCTTCCCTCCATCATAAGATCATAAGTGGGGATGCTCGCCAATTATTGTACAATGTTCATGTGGCTCATGTCCAAATGCAGCAAGACCTGGATAACGTTCAGGTTTGGGCAGACAAATAGCAAGTTACATTCAGTCCACAAAAGTGCCAGGCAATGCCCATATTAAACAAGAGAGAATTTAACCATCGCCTCTTTATATTCAATGGCATTACCGTTGTTGAATACTGCACAGACAACATCCTGGGAGCTACCATTAACCAGAAAATAAATTGGACTAGCCATAGAAGTACATTGGTTACAAGAGCATGTCAGATCCGAGGAATCCTGCAGCTAATAGCTCACCTCCTGACTTCCCCAAAGTCTGTCCAGCAACTACAAGGTACAAGTCAGGGAATTTGTTGGAATACTCCCCACTTGCCGGGATGGGTGCAGCTCAAAAACACTCAAGAAGCTTGACATCATCCAGCAGCCACTTGATTGGCACCACATCCACGAACATCCACTCCCTCCACTACTGATACTCAGTAGCAGTAGTGTGTCTAATCTACAAGATGCACTACAGAAATTCAAATAGGCTGCATGGACAACACCCTCCAAACTCATGGCCATCATCATAAACTCAGTAAGGGCAAGGATAGCAGATACATGGGAACACCACTACCTCCAAATTCCCCTCCAAGCCACTTACCTTACTGACTTAGAAATATATTGGTGTTTCTTCATTGCCAGTGGCTGAAATTTCTGGAACTCCCTCCCTAACAGTATCTATACCAAATGGACTGCAGCAGTTTAAGAAGTCAATTCACCAAAACCTTCTCAAGAACAACCTGGGATAAGCAACAAATGCTAGTCCGGCCAGAATGCCCACATTCTGTGAATCAATAAAAAAACATGCAAAGCGAGTCTGCACCTCCCAGAACATGCCTGTTCTAAATAGCAAACAGAGGAAGGTAATCTTTCAACTTGCAAGTTGGAATGTGAACAGCATGAACTTTGACATGAACAACAACTCTCACTCCACAGTATGTGTACATGAGACTGCCCTGTTGACTGTGGGTTATATAAATCTGGTATTGACAACACCACTTCACAAGAAATCAGATTAGCTGACACAAACTCTAATCATGAGGTTACGGCAAGGTGTTGAAGATTAGAAGCATGGTGTAGGCTTCACAGTAAGTAATCACTTGACCAAGTCAGCTGAGTCACCGGTAGCAACCTTCACATGCTTCATCTCCCTGTGGCTGTCATCTGATGAAGGCAGAGTCAAACCCATATGTGCCTTTGCACCAAATCTGCATGCCAGGTCGGAATTTTATTCAAATTAGACCTGTGTGTGTGTTCTGTGCAATATCTAGCCCCAGTGCATCAAATAAATTCTGCGATGGAAGATTCTGATTTGTGAAGTTTAAAAATCGATAAGAGTGTGGTGATTGGGAATAGAAGCCATAATGAAAGACCTCATTGTTTGTGTACCCAAGAAAGTGCAAATGAAATGTTAACAAGCTTTATTTAAATTTAACCAATCTATCAGATTTTTCACATATTAGACTCAGTGAGGAGCATTGTACAATATTCACATGACTTCTATGTCACTTAGATGTGGTATTTGTATGATTCACAGGCAGCTGGGAAATTATAGAATCCCTACAGTGTGGAAGCAGGACAGTCAACTCATCGAGTCCACACTGGCCCTCCAAAGAACATACCACCCAGACTCACCCCATCCCTGTAACCTTGCATTTCCCCTGGCTAATCCACCTAGCCTGCACGTCCCTGGACACTATGGGCAATTTAGCAATTCACATAACCTGCACATCTTTGGACTGTGGGAGGAACCCAGAGCACCCAGAGAAAACCCACACAGACACAGGGAGATTGTGCAAACTCCACACAGACAGTTACCGGAGGCTGGAATCGAACCTGTGTCCCTGGTGCTGTGAGGAGGCAGTGCTAACTGCTGAGCCATCTTCAGTGGCATCTCCAAGGGGCCATTATACACCATCGTGATTACTAGGGCTACAGTGACTTCAACAGTCACCAAGGCAGCAAGTAAAAATCCTCAACAACTTGGGAGCTTGACATGCAACCCTTGTGACAGACCTTGCTTCACAAATACTGGTCTTTGCTGCTCCCTGGGGAGATAACTCTATCTGAAGTTGATTTATTTGCTGCACATCCATTGTCTTTCAAAGATGGAAGGACGCCAGAAACATTTTCTTGAAAGGTAATTAACAATCTTCCAATTGTCTATAATTTGCATTGGTATAATTTGCAAAGTATTTGGAATGATATTCAAACCAATACTCTACAGATTGCCAATGCATCAGTAAGCTTCTTTATCAAGTTATTAAGCAGCCTCAAAGAAGATTTCATGATAAAATTATTGAGAGGACTTGGACTTAATCTTTTAAAATTTTGTGTGTTTGGTTTCAACAAACATTATGCTATTCTTATGTTTGCATTAAATTATATTTGAAAACATTCATTTACTTGGAGTTGGCCATTGTGAGAGAAGTGCGGATTCATGCAGCTGCCAGACCTGCTGAGCTTTTCCAGCAATTTCTGTTTCTGTTCCAGTCTCTGGAGAAGCTGTTTTGTCATGAACAACTAAATTGGAATGCATTCTGCTACAAAATTTTAAATTTTAATAGTAATAATTATGGCTTTTGACTTTTTGAGGAATCTCTAAATTTTTACTTCATTCTCTTACAATACACACAAAAGAGAAGTTCTTTTTCTAAGGGAACTGCAGTGTCAAATTGGGGAAAAAAAGAATCAATGACCATTTTTAAAATGTTAAATTTTAAATCTAAACAGATATCCTTTATACTAAGAGACATCGCCTCCAGGTGGTTGCAGTGAGATCTCAATGCGACTCTATTAATTTCAACATAGCTGTAACTTCTCGAGGTGCCTGATCCCAAAAGAAAAAGCATAGTGATATAATTAAAACTTTTATGATTTGATGACGGGTAAGTTATTTGAACAAGAAGTGCTTCTGTAGCTTTTCCTTTGATTTTAAATGTACTAACCCACTTTGAAAATCTGCCAGAATTTTGTGTGTCAGATTTAATTATATGGACAGAAGGCAGTGTGAATGTTCCACCCTGTCAATTGCACCAGCAAGATGTCCAAACCATGGTGATACCAGATCTCTGCCATTAATGTCAGAGGTGTACAAATATTTGAAATGACTGTTTCTCAATAAAAGGGAAGCACTGGTTTCCAGTTGGCAGTTAAATAGTAGCCAATATTGAGATGAGGAGCTTACTTTGTAGGTAATCACGAACACAAACTGAATCTCACCAGCATGTTTTAATGATATTGGCTGTTGAAAAAGTATTGGTGAACATATCAGTCCTTACCTTAACAATCATAAATGGGGCAAAAATTGGAAAATTACAAAACTGTGCAGATAGTAATTTAATCATAGAATCCCCACAGTGTGGAAACAGGCCATTTGGCCCAACAGGTCCATACTGACCCTCCAAAGAGCATCCCACCCAGACCCAATCCTCTATCCTATCGCTGTAATTCCTGTGGCTAATGCATCTAACCTACACATCCCTGAACACTGTGGGCAATTTAGCATGGCCAATTCACCCAACCAGCACATCTTTGGACTGTGGAAGGAAACTGGAGCACCTGGTGGAAAGCCACACAGACACAGGGAGAATGTGCAAACTCCAGTCACCCAAGGCTGGAATCAAACACGGTCCCTGGCACTGTGAGGCAGCATTGCTAACCACTGAGCCAACGTGCTGCCATTTCATTGGAGAGGGAATCTGTCTACAAGATTTCAGACCCAAGCCTGAAAGGGACTGTTCTCTCCTCAACATCCTGAACCTGAACATTTATCACTCTCAAAATCTGCTCTGCTCCTCACATCGCCTTCAAACAAGTGAAAGAGATGCAGCGTCTACTCTTTTGCTCTCTCCTTTCCAAGGTCCAGGACAATCTTCCCTGAGGAAACAAGTGATTAACTTGTGCTTCTCTCAATTGCATAAACTGTATTCACTGATGATGATACAGTGCCCCTACACTGGTCATCGAACATCTCCATTCAATTGAAAAGTGTGCTCCTCAGTTTCCCTTCACTTGTCATTTTAATTTTCTCATTCTGATCTCAGTTCTCCACGTTCTGATGAAGCTCGAGGAACCACACCTTGGTTTCGATGAGGCATTTTACAAACTTACAGCCTCAAAATTCAGTTCAATAATTTCAGGTTATCACCATTATTTCCATTTCTTTTAGACTGTTGATTCTGGTAATGATTCTGCCGATTTTCAATCTTTTTAAATGCATTTATGGGATGCGAGCATCAATGGCTGGGCTAGCATTTATTGTCCATCCCTAGGTGCTGTTGCAAAGGTGGAGATGAACTGCCTTCTTGTAGTGCTGCAGTCCATACACTGCGGGCACACTCAAAATGTATTGACATTCAAATATTCACTAAACCAAACTGTGATTAAATTTTTTAGAACGTGATTTACTTTCATCTTTCATCTTGTACCACATCACCCTTTATTATTTAATCACTCCTGTCTTCCACCATATCACAGACCTTCCCTTTTGTTCTTCGCTGTCCTTCCCCATCTTTACCTCCCTCTGTAGCTGTTTAAAACTCATTAGAACTTTTAAGCAACATCCAGTTTTGAACAAGATCACAGATCTGTAACAGCAACTCCCTCCACTGATACTGCCTGACCCGCTGAGTATTTCAGATCCTTCCATGTCCACCCTCCTCCCCAGCCCTGTAATCTCCTCCAGTCCCACAACCATCTGAGATAACTCTGCTATAGTTGGCACTCCTGTCTCACAGTGCCACGGACCCGGGTTTTATTCTCCCCTGCTACTGTCTGTATGAAGTTTACACATTCCCCCTACATCTGTGTGGGTTTCCTCCGGGTGTTCCATTTTCCTCCCATAGTCCAAAAGTGTGCAGGTAAGGTGGATTGCCCATGCTAAATTGTCCATAATGTGCAGGGATGTACAGGCTAGGTGGATTAGCCTTGAGAAATGCAGAATTACAGGGATGGGGTGGGTCTGGGTGATATGCTCTTTGGAAGGTCGGTGTGGACTCGATGGGCAGAATGGACTGCTTCCACACTATGATTTTATGATTCTATCTGCACTCGTCTAATTCTTGTCACTTGTGCATTTCTGCTTTTAAGTACCCGCCTCTGATGGTTGCACCTTCAATTTGCTAATTTCTAAGCTCTAAAGCTTTCCAAGCTCTGCCTTACTTTTGCTCTTCAAAGCATTTCTGAAAACCACCTCTTTGACTGCCATCTGACCTCATATTTCAATACGTGGCTCAGTGTTATAACCTGTTTTAGGAGATGCTTGTGATTTGTCTTGGGATATTATATTTAATTGTGTTTATGGTGCGATATTAATGGATGTTTTGTTACTGTTTCCAGTTTATGTTCCAGATGAAGCTGTTCATCTAAGACCTAAATACATTTTTTTTCTCATATAACCGTTGCAATGAGATGAAATGAGAGTTATGCAACAGTACGAAAAGATACAGATTTACCTTCTGGATTCTCAGTGGGAAGAGCTTCACATCTGCTCTCACACTGCTGCATGGCTGCAGGTCGATTGGTCTCTGGACATTCCATGGAAGGCTGACCAATATAAGTCAAGCACTGAACCATTCGCATCTGCTGACCCAGACCACACTGTACAGAACACTAAGGGAAAGAAACAAAATGCAGACGTCAGCCCAAGGAGGTATGGAGTAAAGCATCATAAGATTATTCACTGAGAAGAAAGCAGTGAAATTTTACAGCTTCTTTAATACCCAGGATAACAGCTGTCACTACGTGTTGTATATCTCATGGTGGTGTCATGTGTTAGACATTAATCCAGAAGTCATATTTTCTAACAAATTAGATGTCTGGCCAGTTAATATGCCTTTGGTGAGACTTGTTGTTAGTTGAACGTTGGCCAGAATACTGGGAGAGAACCTAGATCTTTTTCAAAAGATGATTTATATCTACCTGAGCAGATGGAAACAGCTTCAGTTTAACTTCTCATCCAAAAGCCAGAAGCTTGGAGAATGTTACAATACCCTCTGGGCTTCACTCATGTGTCAGCCTAGGATATATGCTCCATTTCTGGAGTCACACCTGTCTTCACAAATTTGCACTCAAGGGTGAATGTGCAACGAGCTGAGCCAAGCTGCTTCCATTAAAGTAGGCAGTGTGACTGGGTCCCCTTCCAAAGAAGGGGGAAGGTTCAAAATAGCATCTGGAATAAACTGAAAAAGTGATCTTAATTGTGTTAGAACTTTTTTTCTTAAACCTAAATATGTGCCACTGCTTGTTTACATTTTTAAAATTAATTTCCCATGGTGGATGTGAACTTGAGAGACTGGCTCTTGGCATAAAACATAAATAGAAGGGGAGGAGATAGTAAGAACTGCCGATGCAGGAGTCTGAGATAACACAGTGTGGAGCTGGATGAACACAGCAGGTCAGGCAGCATCAGAGGAGCAGGAAAGCTGACGTTTTGGGTCTTCACCCTTCTTCAGAAATGGGGGAGGGGGGAGGGAGCTCTCAAATAAATAGAGTGGAGGAGTGGGGCGGGGGAAGGTAGGTGGGATGGTGATAGGTGAGTGCAGGTAGGCAGTGGTGGGGATTGGTCAGTGAGGTGGGATAAGTGGATAGGTGGGAGAGAAGATGGACAGGTCAAGGAGGCGGGGATGAGAGGGAGGGTTGGTCATGGGATGAGGCTGGGGGTGGGGAGATTTTGAAACTCATAAAGTCCACATTGAGACCATTGGGTTGTAAACTTTCAAGGCGGAATATGAGGTGCTGCTCCTCCAGTTTCTGGGTGGCGTCATTGTGACACGGGAGGAGGTCCAGGATGGACACGTCATCCAAGGAGTGGGAGGGGGAGTTGACATGGCTACACTGGCACTATCCCCCACCTCTTCCTCCACTACATCGATGACTGTATCAGCGCCGCCTCGTGCTCCCGTGAGGAGCTTGAACAGTTCATCAACTTTACTAACACCTTTCATCCCAACCTCAAGTTCACCTGGACCATCTCTGATACCTCTGTCTCCTTCCTGGACCTCTCTGTCTCCATCTCTGGCAACCACCTGGAAACTGATATCTATTTCAAGCCTACCGACTCCCATAGCTACCTAGAATACACCTCCTCTCACCCACCTTCCTGCAAGAATGCGATCCCCTATTCCCAATTCCTCCGCCTCCGCTGCATCTGCTCCCAAGATGAAGCGTTCCACTCCTGAACATCCCAGATGTCTTCGTATTCAAGGACTGCAACTTCCCCCCTTCAGTGTTAGAAAACGCTCTCGACCGCATCTCTTGCGTTTCCTGCTCCTCTGCCCTCACATCCCCTCCCCGTAACAAAAACAAAGACAGAATTCCCCTTGTCCTCACGTATCACCCCATTAACCTCTGGATTCAACGCATCATTCTCCGCCACTTCCGCCACCTGCAATCTGACTCCACTACGAAGGATATATTTCCCTCTCCACCCCTGTCTGCCTTCCGAAGGGACTGCTCTCTCTGTGACTCCCTCGTCTGCTCCACACTCCCCTCTAACCCCACTACCCCGGCACATTTCCCTGCAACCGCAGGAAGTGCGACACCTGCCCCTAAACCTCCCTCCTCACCTCCATCCAGGCCCCAAAAAAACCTTCCACATTAAATAGATGTTCACCTGCCCATCCGCTAATGTGGTCTATTGTGTCCATTGCTCCCGATGTGGCCTCTTCTACATCGGGGAGACCAAGTGGAGGCTTGCAGACCACTTTGTAGAGCACCTGCACTCAGTTCGCAACAAACGACAACGCCTCCCAGTCGCGAACCACTTCAACTCCCCCTCCCACTCCCTGGGCGACATGTCCATCCTGGGCCTCCTCTAGTGTCACAATGATGCCACCTGGAAACTGGAGGAGCAGCACCTCATATTCTGCCATGGGACCCTACAACCCAATAGTTTCAATGTGGATTTTACTAGCTTCAAAATCTCCCCACCCCTGGCCTCATCCCGTGACCAACCCTCCCTCTCATCCCCGCCTCTTTGACCTGTCCGTCTTCTCTCCCACCTATCCGCTCCTCCACCTCACTGACCAATCCCCACCACTCCCTACCTGCACTCACCTATCGCCATCCCACCTACCTTCCCCAGCCCCACCCCTCCTCTCTCTATTTACTTCAGGGCTCCCTTCCCCCTCCTCCATTTCTGAAGAAGGGTCCCGACCCGAAACGTCAGCTTTCTTGCTCCTCTGAAGCTGCCTGGCCTGCTGTGTTCCTCCCACTCTACACTGTGTTATCTCTGAGAAGGGAAGGTGTTGTTGATCCAATGAGTTTGGGGTTAAGTATAAGTAGAAACTTTATTCACAAATGGCTTCACGAGTTACACCCGGAACTAATTCTTCAAGTCTTGAGTCTAGGCTTGAATGAATGAAAAAGGCTTTACTTTATGGGGCCTTTATCTTCAAATTACTTTCCTGAAATAGTCAATGGCATGTATTATTAGATTGATTACCGGACTCCATTCTCCGGCTACCCAGCGAGGAAGTGGACATCGCTGTGAAGTACATCGAATTCGGGTGGGAGGTTTGGAGTCCGCAGGACAATGGGAAGCTGGATATGTCACAGTGTAGTCGCTGCTCTTGCAAAGTACGATACGATGCCGATAACCTATTCCACAACTTGGTGTGCACTGTTAATAAAAAGAGAAAGGCATGCTTAAAATTTTGAAAGGTGCTACACATTTCACCAGGATTCATTTTATCCTACAAGTTGGATGCAACCATCAAAAGTACATAAAGACTCAAAATTTTCCTGCAGTGTTCTCAGGACAGAATTTTTATTCACCTCATAGATGCCTTTCCATCTAAAGTTCCAGGAAAGTGGATATTATATCCTGAGGGTAGGTGACTACATCAATAAAGGAACAACGCTGATGTCTCCTTCAGGAGAGAAGCAAGGGATTTAGACGTGGAATCTGGTTGTTGCATTAAATGGATGACCACAACTGCCACAAGAAGAAAATTAATTCCATAAATGGTCTTTGTTTCAGAGTTTCAGATTTCCAGCATCCGCAGTTTTCTGCTTTTATTGATAAATGGTATGACTTTATCCGGTATTTGGTTTTCCAAAAGCAATTAATCACTTTATTAAAGACTTTCAACAAAGGAGCTGTAAAGTGAAAGTTGTATAAATGTACAGAGTTGGAGGAACATATAATTCTTGGAGAGCTGTAGAAGGCTGTAGGAGGTTTCAGAGATAGGATGGGGCATAACTATGAAGTGATTTGAATGTGGAATGACAATTTGAAAATTACGGAGTTGATGACCCTGGAGTAAATACAGATCAATAAACACAGAGATGGCGGGCGGGTTGGATTCAGTGCAAGTGAGAACACAGGCAGCAGAGTTTGGATGAACTCAAATTTATGGAAGACGGAAGGTCAGCCAGGAAAGTACTGGAGGTAATGAAAGCAGGGATGAGGATTGCAGCAGAAGGGAAGGATCAAAGAATGTGGTCAGAACCTTTGATTTCACCTCTTTGGTTTTCTTTAACATGTCTAATTCCACATCAACACGGGTGTGGAAATTTGACTAACTTGAGGTATGTTCATTTCACAGCTGGAAATAGAATTTGCGAACAATTGTTCCTCTTTCTCTTCTAGTGTATATTATCATCTAATGTGGTCAGAGGAATGCCTGTGGCCTAATGAAATGAGGGAACAAGTGATGGACATATTAATTAAGAGTTAATTGGGTTCTCATTAATTGTATAAATGTGAGGAGCCAGTAATCAAGTTTTATGGAGTGTGGTTCTTTAAAAGAAAGTTTTCACATAAAAGTGTGTACTTAAATTCTATTTAACTGAAGTTACCTGTTGGAGTCTGACAGTAAATGTATAATCTCACTTCCACAAACATATATTTCTCTCTACGTTCATTGTCAAAAATTTGATTTCCCACTTCAAGGGTCCTGCAACCTCTTCAGCCATTCTTCTATTTTTAAAAAGGTTCTACAAGATTGTACTGTTTCCTTTTATATATCTGTTTACCCTTTTTCATATCATTCATGATGTATCCCAATATCTCCCCACTACAGATATGCACAAAAGATGTAGCGCACATCTGGAGTATCCTCTGCCTGGGAGCACTCAAATCCAATTGTCATTCCTGTCTTGATGTCAACATTCAAGCACTATAGACAGAAACTGCAGTGAGAAACACTGACATTCCCCATCTATTTCCTTCCTGGGTAATTTGTGGGATCAGGAAGCTGCGGTGGGTGGGGGTTGGAGAGATTCACACTGGCTCTGGATCCACCTCAAACTGCAGGGATTGTATCACAGTTCCACTCCTTTCAATCACGTGAAGATCTACCCAAAAACAAAAATGATGCATCTTGGCTTGCAATTAAATATCCTTGAGTTGCATCGGAATATTTCTTTGACTATCAATAAACAATTCCATTTTGATTGAAGACTTAAACCTTACGAGTAGAATGAAGTACACATTACCTCAGACCAATCGAGAGGAACCCATTCCGGTGGGCAGGTATGGTTATTGCAGCTTTCCTTTATCAGGGGGCGTTCACTGATACAGTGACTATCATCCAGTATTTTTTGCTCAGAAGCAGTGACCTTTTGGACACATACAACATCACGAGTGCGAAGTCCCCCACTGCAGGTCCGACTACACTCGGACCATTCACCTACAATCCAGCTGGAAAATGGAAAATATGAAATGACTTTATGTTCATGGATAAACACATAAAGGAGGTCTCGTGGCACATTGAGTATTATCCCTGCCTCTGAACCAGAAGCTCCAGGTTTGAGTCCCAGTACTTGATGGTCAAGGAAGGAGCATTCAAAACATGGCTACATAGACTGACTGACAACCTACAAATCTTTCCAAGACATGCCACTGGGTAGGTGACAGGTTTGGGAGAGGTCTTTGATCAGCTGTGCGATGCAAACAAGGCTGGAGCCTCTATTATCACGAGCCATAGCTTGAGACTATAACATATACAAAATGAAAAATACACATTGCCACAGTAACATAAAGTCCCTGAATGATCCATATGTGCTGCCACCACCAACCCAAACTCATAAATACACAAAATGAACACCTCATTGACAGTGCACTCTTCAAATACCTGACATCAATGTTAGGTGGCTTGTTTGTTTGTCTGGATTGTCTTGATTTTTGCAGACACATGCATTCATTCTAGTTACTTATGCACTTCGAGTATTTGCTTCTGAAACTGGGATCCATGATAAAGCTCGACATATCTGAAAATAATGTCAATGGCTGATGAAAGTTAGCCTCAATTTAACTGTGCATAAGTTGTGTTACAGGGCAGTCACCAAACTCCTGACTTGTATAATAAGAGGCTCAGGCAACTTTAACAGTCGGGGATGGTCACAAGTCAGATGCCTCAAGCAAACATCTTCTATATCCACAAGCATCCATTCCCTCCACCACCAATGCTCAGTGCCAGCAGTGTGTACTATCTATGTGATGCACTACAGAAATTCACCAAAGATCCTCAGGCAGCATCTTCCAGACTCACGGCCACTTTTGTCTAGAAGGACAAGCGAAGCAGATATGTGGGAACACTATCACCTTCAAGTTCCCCTCCAAGCCACTCACCATCCTGACTTGGAAATATACTGCCGTTCCTTCACTGTTGCTGGGTCAAAATCCTGCCATTCTCCCTCCCTAATGGCAGGAGGACTGCAGCAGTTCAAGAGGGTAGCTCACCACCACCTTCTCCAGGGCAACAAGGGTTGGACAATAAATGCTGGTCAGCCAGCAATGCCCATGTTCCACAAATGAATTTTAAAAAAAAGTGGGAGGCACCAGCTGACTGGCGATCAGGGTACAATTTTGGACAGTAGGTATCCACCAACTGGCACCAAAAGATTGGGCACAGCTTAACAGAGCAAGTCATGGGATGGTATTTTGAGAGGCTGTCATTCTGGGAAGAGGGGAAGGGGCAGATAGAACCAAAAAGAGGAGAAGAGTTAAAATATCCTTTGGAACAAAATTTGTCCCTAAAATAAAAAGAAAATAAAATTTAATTGATGACAAAAACGGGCAAGAGTCACGTCACAAGATTAATTCGGGATTGTTACTGCTGCTGCTTGTGCTTCCTGCTAATTAACATGATTGCAGTGTGTAGCCAGTGCCAAATGTGCTGGTGAGTGACTGCATACCACCCCAGAGAGTGAAAAATTGGGAGAGAGTGGCTTTAGCCACAGCTTGGCCTGCATCTCTTAAGCCAGAAGTTGCATCTTGAAGGGGAAATACATTGCATCTGGAAGTCAGTCTGCAACTGATTCTGACCTTGGGAAGACACAAGAATGGTATAACTGCCTCAGTCACATTAACAAACTGGAAGTCGATTGGAAAAATTCCATTCAACCTCCTTTACAAGGTTGTTAATGAAATTAACTGGCTACCTACCATGTGAGGGCAGGTAGCCTTGCTGCCCACAAAACTAACTTGGCAAAAATGGCTGATACTAGCGATGGGGTTTGAGAAACTGGTATATTTGCTTGGTGCTATCAATTTCGGGAACGATCTGCCTCTATTTGCAACCTTGGCGGGGTGCAAAATATTCAGGTTTAAGATTTTCTGACATTGCATTGAAGACCTTGGTGTAGAGGAGTTGCTGGAGGGCAGAGATGTCCTGTATTCACAGGAGGCCCTCCAGATAAAACTTACATTACAGTGTGAAAGAGTTAGAATGTCAGAAGTCTATCCTCAAGGACCTGATGCAGTGCTGAATGACCTTGTAAGAGTAGTTGAGGTCAACTAATGTGCCTTTAATTGTCATATCACACCGATGCATCAACTAACCCCAGCTATCACTCACCATCCTCCTTTAATCAAGAGTCATACCAATTTTCAACACAAGTATCACTGCTCTAAATCTCACACCCACACATCATTGAAAGGTAACATTATTATTGACAACCACATCAGCCGAACTGATCGCATGACATTCACTGATACACCTCTTTCTGTCTTGCAAAAGAAGACACACAATCAGGGACAGAAGATGTTAATGGTGTAGGGCAGATATGGCTGCATGTCTTATCCCCATGAAATAGACAGTAGTCATACTACTGGAGAAGCTTTAACCAAGGCCCCAGTTGGGAGTCGGGCTGAAATGAGCAAAGATGCTGGTATTTTCAGACCTGAACCTTCTTTTCACTCACTCTCCCTTTACCAACATTTTTTTCTGATGTAGAAGCTGAAGCTTGGGTAAAAGCATGAACCTCTTACTCCCTAAAGTGCACACCTGTTCACTGCAATTCCATTTTTATCCTTCTCCTCTCAGATACTCGGACAATAGTGGGAGATGGTGATGACGAAGAAACACTGGCTCTCGATCACACATTCAAAGTCTTGAGCTTAGACACTGTAATTGTGTGTAGTTTACAGGACAGCTCAGAAGCGCACCTGGTGAGACACCTGGGTACTGTTGGCTGCAGCCAGGTCAGGAATCAAGGCCAGTGCATTACCAGTGCCACGAGGGGAACATTCAAACACGGGTGACATTTGCTGGACATGGATAGAGTTTTAAGGCAGTTGCCTACAAAAGAATTTTGATTGGAATACACAGTGGAATGCTTGGTGCATTGGGAGCCCTGCCAGAAAACCTGCCAGCAATGTTAAACAGCATGGCAAAGGCAAGCACTGACTTAGCACAGAACCTTGCACAGAGCTTAACGCCCAGCCTGTTGGACCATCCAGCATGGAATGGTGACCAATCCCATTACCACACTTGAAGACCCACTGTAATGTCGATGAGATGTGGTCGATGTCTCAGTTTTTATTGTGGCACAAATGGAAGTTACCCAATGCACTGCAATATGCTGCAATGGAAACTTAGATTTCACTCAAACAAGGTCAGACTGCAGCCAACCTTGGCGTCAACTTTGGCCTCAATGCCACTCTATGCTTGTCTGTGCCCTTTTAACATGTGATTCAACATATATATGGCTTTAATGTAAGTTATTCCCAACAGTTTACCTGCACAGTTTGAAAGCATTTTCTGAAATAGGAACAACTGATCTTCAATGAGTTGATGTGAGAAAATTATAGAATGACACAGCTCAGATGGGGGACACTCAGTCCATCATGCTTGTGCTGGTTCTTGGAAAGTTAGTTTCTATTCCCCTCCTCTTTCCCTGGAAATCTTTACCCTTCATGAGTTAAGCCACTTCTTTTTTGATCGTTACCTTTGGATTTGCTTCAATATGCTTTTAGGCAGTACATTCCAGATCATGAAACATGCATACACACATGCTCCCTTAAATCATCCAAGTCATTGGCATAAATTGCAAAGAGACGAGGCCCAGCACAAACCTTTGCAGGATCCCACTCTTCATATTCTTCCAATCAGAAAAATAATTAATTATGCATGCTCTCTGTTTTCTGTCAGCCATCCAGTCTTCAAGCTATGCTAATATTATACCCCATACCATGAGGGTCGAAGATTCAAATTTGAAATAATTGTATTTAAGCATTGTAAGGGCATTTAGAGTATTAACCAGAGGCAAAAGTAATTTTGCAAAAATGTAAAATGGAACCAGATTTTGTGAACCAAGACAGTTTCCTCAGTGGCTCTGGAAGGTGTTCCATTTATTGTTATTGAATAAACTCAGGCATTGATCAGATGAAATTTTGCCCATTCCATTGTGTTTGTGGTAGTGTGACATAGCTATAACATTTGCTGTAAGTATTGACCCAGTTCTTGTGTTACTTACACTGATGTACATGGCTCAGTGTTACAAGCACGTTGTTTTTCTGGAAGTTTGTTTTCACTGTTACAGTAATGAGCAGAAACAACAGAATTATCATCCAGTTTCTTGCACACGACAGCCTGTGCCTGTATACCTATACAGGAATGATAAAGTTTGATAATCAGTGAAACTGAAGATGTGCTAACAATCATGGAGATCATTGCTTAAAAACCATAAATGTACAGTTCATCAGCTCTTGTAAATTCTGTGCAATTGTATTAATTTGATCCTGAAGTTAGTCTGAAGAAGAAAGAACTAATGGAAACATCCAAGACTCAATTATTTTATTTATTCTTTATTGTTTTGTTGCTTATTTTGGCATATTCAACTCAAATGCATAACTATAGCTAAAATATTACAGGGGAATTTTACAATCTGGCAGCCTTGTGTGGTTGCTGGGACAGGGAGGGGAAGAAAAGTGGGTAAACGGTGTTGCAAACTCATGGGAACATGAGTGCACAGGAAGCATGCAGTCTGTGCATCATTGGATGTTGCCACATTGAGGCCTGCAATCAGGCTTCAACATTTCCATGAGCTCAGCAGGTGTGCAATTTTCCCAAGGGCTGCCCAGAATTGGTCAGGCCAAAATTGGATTCACCTCATTGAATTTTATCTCCCTTAAGGCACTGACCACAGAGATTCTGGCACATTCTGAACAAAATGCCTCAAGGGCCAGTAAATTGTGTAAAAGAACAGGCTGCATATACCAATGCTGAATGTGGGACACAAAACCAGCCCTGATGTGCGACTTCAAGTTGAAGCACGTTATCTAATTTATCAAAAAATACACATGGGAAATTTGTCAGGCAATGTCGCTAAATTGAACTTCATGGTCATTAATAAACATTTTCTGATGTTAATTGTGCATCTACCCATCTGTTAAATTTGTAATCACCTGCAATATCTGCAGTAGGCTGTGTATGTATACTCGGTCTGCCATCTTTTCAGTTGCAAATTTCTGTGCAGGTGAGCACTGGCATTTTCCCAGATAACCAATCTCGGTACTATGTGGTATTTGCATCTCTCCCAGTAGGTGGTACAGGTTAAGGTTGATTGGTGTGGCTTACTGCCACCAATCCACCACTTTGCTGTGTCTTGGGCTTATCCAATGAATACTGATGGAGGATATACCACCATGGAGTATCTAAAGGAGAGCGACTGTTCTCAGATAACATGAAAGTTTGCTGTATGATAGCAATAAGTACAACCACATTTGATCACACATAATTACTAAGACCTTAGGAAGCGAGTACAGATACATTCTCTCCATTCACAGACTGTGTGTGACATCCAGAGGATGGATGGAGCCAACATAACATAAGCACTAAACCCTTCAGAACCATTCCCTGATACAATCAGGTCATGGGATAAATTTTTCAAACAAATTACTTTGTGTTTTTAAAAGATTTATATCTGAAAATACTTTGCTGTGTTTTCTTTTGCCTCTGATGACAAAAAACATTTTTTTTTGGAGAAAACACTTTTCAACACTTAATTATATTTATTCAGTGAATTTGTGCTGTTTATTGCCTCCGCTGATGTTTTACTCACACAAATTAGCTTCTACAAGATTGGATCTAATATTTTCTCAAAGTTGTAATGCTATGCAGTGTCATTGTGCAGTTCATCTAATTTTCAATGAAGATTCAACACTACCCAGTCAGCTGTACCTATGGAACATATTTCTTCAACTTCCTAAGAATTTATTGCCCAGTTTCTTTTTAACTTATTTGAGAAAAAGTTAGAAGACACATTTCAACTGAATCAAAAGACCTCCAGGACCAGCTAAGTTTTGGTGCAGCTCCAAGGAAATTCTGAGCTAATGTCTTTCTTTCAGAAAGACAGTACTTAAAGATGTTTTCTAATCAACCTGGTCAGAAACGTTGTTACACACCTCTGCAGCAGGTGGGACTTGAACCTATGCTTCCTTCGGAGGTAGGGACACTATCACTGCACCACCAGAGCTCCAAGACACCAGTAGAATGTATTTTTCTTGATCAACCTGTTCAGCAATGTTATGATACACGTCTGGAGCAGGTGAGACTTGAACTCAGGTCTTGAGGCTCAGAGGTAGAGACACAATCACTGCTCCATAACAGCCTCTGAAAGACACCAGTTAATTATTTTCTCATCATCCTATTCAGAGATGTTATTACACATCTCTGGAGCAGGTGGGAGTTGGACCTGAGCCTCCTGGTCCAGAGGTAGGGACACTACCACTGCACCACAAGAACCCTAAGATACCAGATGAATATTGTTATGAATTGTTCACCTCACCCATGGTTCATTGCTAGTCAGAAAATTATTAATTCCTTACATTCCATGAAGCAATCAATCATTCTGATTCCTAACACCAATTGTTGTTGCAAAATTTTTTAACATGTATTCTCAGGAGTGAACTCATTGCAAGAGTGGACCAGGAACAATAGGTCCAACAAAAAGAAATCACTCAGAATGGCATGGTCATAAGCAAAATGAACATGGCATTCTCTAATCCTTGTAATCACAATCCATTTTCATATTGCACTACGTACCTCCTGCACATATTGCAGTGCACTTGGACCAAGGAAAATATTGCCACTCATAGGTTGCCTGTGTATCTCCACTGACTGTGCGTATGATGGGTGCATTAAATTTGTAATGAATGCCCTGATTTTCCTCTTGTATCAGCACCTGCATTAGAAATGAAAAATAATTCAAGACATTAATGTCAGTAGTTTCCTGCATGAGTGGAAAATTCCCCACTTTTGTTTCTTGTTTCCCCACGGCAGGGAAGTCAAATTCCAACGTGCCTTGTGTGCAAAGACTGTACAAAGGCGTTAAGACATTCTGCAAATCATATTTTTGTCAATTTGAATACTTACTTCATCAAAATGACCACAACTTTCTAGATTTTATTTACTTTCATACTCAGAACTTTTAAGGTACATCATGGCTGCTTAGAACTAGCTACTGCAGTTGTTGCTAGTTGCATCACATTCCCCTTTAATAACAGCATAAACTCTGAGTAGAAATTGAATACAATGTTAGTTTGAAGGTAGTAGACAGAGAGGGGCGGTACAGGGTTGTTTTTTGGACTGGAGGCCTGTGACCAGATGTGTGCTGCAAGGATCGGTGCTGGGTCCACTGCTTTTCCACATTTATGTAAATGATTTGGATGTGAATATGGGAGATATTGTTAGTAAGTTTGCAGATGATACCAAAATTGGTGGTGTAACAGACAGTGAAGAAGGTTATCTCAAATTACAACAGGACCTTGATCAGATGGTCCAATGATCTGAGGAGTGGTAGATGGAGTTTAATTTAGATAAATGTGAAGTGTTGCATTTTGTTAAGGCAAACCAGGGTAGGGCTTACACACTAAATGGTAGGGCCCTGGGGACTACTGCCAAACAAAGACACCTAGGGATGCAGATGCATAATTTCTTGAAATGTGAGGCACAGATAGACTGGGTGGTGAAGAAGGAATTTGGCACACTTGTCTTCATTGGTCAGTGCACTGAGTATAGGAGTTGGGCGTCATATTGCAGCTGTACAGGACATTGGTGAGGCCACTTTTAGAATATTGCACTCAGTTCTGGTCTCCTTGCTATAGCAAAGATGTTGTGAAACTTGAAAGGGTTCAGAAAAGATTTACAAGGATGTTGCCTGGACTGGAGGGTTTGAGCTACAGGGAGAGGCTGGGGCTTTTTTCCCGTGGAGCATCAGAGGCTGAGTGGTGACTTTACAGAGGCTTATAAAATCATGAGGGGCATGGACAGGGTAAATAACCAAGGTCTTTTTCTCAGGCCAGGGGAGTCCAATTCCCTACCTTAATACATACAATGAGTACAAGACCTATACTAATAGTTACGATAATATAATACAAATTTATTCTGAAGTAGGATTCCCATGCAAACCTTAACAAACAATTATTGAATTGGCTGTACTTCTACGTCTTTTCTCCACTTTGCCAAAATGAAGAAGAACCTGTGGCGAACTAACTTCATTTGTAACTAATTTTTTCATGTATCCTTGAAACTCCACATGTTTTACTTAAATTATTAGTTTTCAAACATCAAAAGGAATAATGATTACCATAAGGAAAAGACTTGCATTAGTAGGTCCCAATGCTTCCAGACACTCTGGCTCATCATCAGGCCTCTTATAGTGGAAAGCAGTTCCAGCAATATCAAACCGCTGTGGTGTATCTATGGACCAGCCACCATTAATAAAGTATTCTTCACCATCAGATTTCAGTGCTTAAAAAGGAATTTTAATATGAATTAAAGAACTTTTCAATGATATTACTAAAGTACATTCTATTCTATCACTGATTTACACTTGTAAGAAATATCAGTGGCTGATTATAACTTGGCATCGTCTTCTGCTCTGCCAATCCCATTAATTTTCTCCCTCCCTTCTTCTGATTACCTCAGATATCCACCATTTTTCTTCTATAATAAATGGGTGCATGTTATTTAACCACAGGGAAAGTATTACAACTGAACCCGATTCTTTCATCGTGTTGCAATGTGCATTTTTACCCAGATGTAAAACAATCTGAATTGAGCATTTCCCAGCAGGAGGCCATACATTTCTAAACGTTACAAAGGAGAATCAGATTGAAATTGAAAAGTTGGCTCTGTTTCTCTCTCCACAGATGTTGCCAGATCTGTTGAGCTTCTCCAGCATTCTCTGTGCTTGTACCATTTTTTACACATTCACCCATGGAATGTAAGTGTTGTTGCCTGACCCAGTATGTATTGGCCATCCCTAATAGTTTGCTAGACCATTTCAGAAGGCATTTATCAACCAACTACATTACTGTAGCTCTGGAATCACACCTAGGCCAGACTGGGAATGATGGCAGATTTCCTTCCTTGAGGAACAGTCGTGAACTAGATGGACTTTTATGACAATCAACAATGTTACACGGTCACCATTAGGCTAGGTTTTAATTTCAGATTTTATTTTTATTACCACCTGCCATCTTGGGATTCGAACGTTTGTCCCCAGTGCATTATCCTGACTATCTGGATTACTAGTGTAGTGACATTACCACCACACCACTGCGTCCCCTTGAAATATTTAAAATGGTACAAATTTTAGCACAGCTCTTCATTGATTCTTTACAAAAGAATGGAAATCAGTATGAAATTACTCTGAGGATTTTATTAAACAATTCTCGACTAATAACTGGTCTTGATAATAAATTGTGATGTCTACAAAAACATACTGTTAACAAATAGGAGGAGGAGGGCATAGACAATATTTATTAAACTTGTGAATGATATAAATAAGAACTAAATTGGTTTTATGATAATGCCAAAAGTACGGGCAGCATCATATTTGAGGGAACATATATTTCCAACCTCTTACTGCAATAGCTATTGCCATGTTCCACTTTAACTCACATTCTTATAATGTATTTCCCTGCCCAATATGTAATTACAGAATCAAAGCAAAACCAATATAAATTTGTAAAAAGACATTTCGGAGTTGAAGTTGTACTGTGCATTATGGTAAACAAACATATTAAATATGCATTCATGTATAGAATTCAGGCTCAGAAATTGCTGTTAGCAAAATGAAGATTTCAATAATTGAATTTCTTGCTTTTCCCTGCATTGCTATTACCTATTTAGCCTATGACTTCCTGCTTGATCTCTTCTGTCACAAAAAATAACTGCTAATGGCTGCAATAATGTTCTTTGGCTATCATTTAAAAGCAAACATCAGGTACTTTTTCATGTCCGTTCACAGGATGTGTGCATCACTGGCTGGTCCAGCATTTATTGCACATCTGAAGTTGCCCTTGAGAAGGTGGTGGTGAGCTGCCTTCTTGAACTGCTGCAGTCCATCTTCTGTAGTTTGACCCACAATGCCCTTAGTGATGGAATTCCAGAATGTTGACCCAGTGACACTCAAAGATCAGTGATATACTTCCAAGTCAGGATGACAAGTTACTTGGAAGGAAACTTACAGGTTCTCATGCTCCCGTATAACTGCTGTCCTTATTTTTCCAGGTGAAAGTGGTCATAGGTTTGGAAGGCGCTCTCTCAGGAGTGAATTTCTGCAGTGCACCTTGCAGATGGTATACACAATGCTGCTATTGGGCAGCAGTGGTGGAGTGAGTGGATGCTTGTGGATGTGATGCCAATCAAATGCGCTGTTTTTTCCTGGATGGTGTTAAGCTTCCAGAGTGTTGTTGGAGCTGCATCCATCCAGACAAATGTTGAATATTCCATCACACTCCTGACTCACCTCCCCGTGCTGCTCTCAAGGTAGCTTCTGTGGAAAATCACCTATTGCACACCTCTATCTGGAGTGTACCTTTGTAAAGCAAGTCTAGAAATAGAGGCAGTGGTTTTAGTTCCTGAGCAGCTCCATATCACTACGCACTGGATGCTGAGTCAAAATCCTGGAAAGTCCTAACAGTGCTGTGGGTATGTCTTTATCACCATCACCTGCAGCAGTTCAAGAAGGCCACCACTTTCTTCGGGGTTGTTAGTGAGAACAATACATACTGGCCTAGCCAATGACATCCACGTCTGACAAAGGAATTAAAAAAAAACAAACTACAGGTTGTTTCCTGTGATGTTCATTGAGATAAACGTCTCCGGCTGCAGGACAACCATCAAGTCGGTTAAAAGTACACTTTGGTCTACCCGAAACTTGCTGGTACTTTCTGGCTCAAAGAGCTGCTGGAAGACAGGCTATAGCTTGGGACAGCAGCCACTAAGACTCAATGGAGCAAGGTCACAAAGCCCCATCAGTCTGTCCCCTCCTTAGCACACTGAGAGATTGAAAGCTGTATAAGACCCTCAGGCTGTACGCACCAAATGAAGGTTTGCTATGACATGTAAATATACATTGTCAGTATAACTTGTAATGAAGTACCTGATATATTGCATTGAAATAAATTAATCTGTAGTGCACTTTTTGTATGTCAAATTTGAACTGTTATGCAATATACATTTGCAAATTTTATGAATATGTATATTTTTGAAAATTAAAACAAAACTTGCTTTTTGAAATAAAGGAGCTAGATGTAAGATATTTGGCATATAATGAATGAGCTTAAAAGATACAGGAAATATTGCAGGAAACTGTAAAAAAAAACCCATCTAGAACAGGAAGAAATTTTGAAGAAAATCTAAACATATCTGCTCTATGACAAGTTTTTAACTGAATTAAAAGCAGTCTTGCTTAATGTCACCTGATGTGCAAGGATGATAAGCGGTATGAATCTGATACAGAGGAATCACTGAGTGATACAAGTTAACCAAGATCCATGTGTAAGTAAATATTGTAAGAAAAATGGCACAGGACCACCACTGTGGTTTTGGAAATGTTGCATCGATAAGAACACTGTCTATTTCTCTTTGCAACAGAGGTTTGTCTTCAACATGATCCCAAAGCTGTCTGCAAACTGCCCGTACGATTACCATGTTCTGAAGAAGAGTTATATTCAACTCAAAATATTAATACCATCTTTCCCTCTCCACAAACGCAGCCAGACCTGCTGACTATTTCCAGCCTGTTATTTCATTTCAGATTTCCAGTGTCTGCAGCATTTTATTTTTATATAACACTTACCCTTGGTCATTAGCAATGCATTTAAAAGTAGTTCGTGTCATAAAACAGAAGACTGCTGTGATTTGACAAAGAGGAAGAAATGACAAAAGATGACTATAATTTTCAAAAGTTTTATGCAAAGGAAGATTGAATCAGACTATAGCAATCTTCAAAACAGAAGATCAAAGTGGACTGGTGGTTCTAATATGGAGGTGCAGGTATTGGACTGGAGTGGACAAGGTCAGAAATCACATGACATCAGATTCTAGTACAACAGCCTCATTTGAAAATACAAGCTTTCAGAGCCTCGGTCCTTCTTCAGGTGTTAGTGAGAGACGTAGTATCATTCACAGGATTTACAAGTAAAAGATCAAAGGTTCACACCATTGATGAGGATGTGTTAAACAAACCTGAGATGCACACACACTCTCTCCCCCCTCATACCCACACACATTCTCCCTCTCCCACCTCCCGCACACTCTCTCCCCACCACGCACACACACCACACACATTCTTCCTCTCTCCCTCCTCCGCCCACACACACTCTCTCTCTCCCGTCTCACATACACACACACACAGACATTCTCCCCCCTCGCGCACACATTCTCTCTCCTCCCCCACATACACTCACACTCTCTCTCCCCCCTCACATACACACACTTTCTATCCCCCCATCATATACACACACACTGTCTCCCCACCTCTCTCTCTCTCTCTCTCACACACACACACACACGAATCTATGGGGTGTATTTGCAGATACATTTTATTTTGTTCAAAAAGCACACAATTTATAGACAGTCAGTCAATATGACGTTTTATAAATTCCTACTTTAGAAATAAAAACAGTCTGACTCCAAACTAAAACACAAACAGATTCTAAACAAGGCCTTACACCTATCATGCATTGTCTGATCTAAAATGTCACCTGTTCTTTACACTGATAAGCCTTTAGTACTCTCAGGACCATTACTTGAAAGGAATTTGGGGATTTACATATATATATTAATCAATTAAAACCTTCTAACTGATTAAAGATTTAACAGCATCTTAGGTTTGTTTAGTATATCCTCATCAATGGTGTGAACATTTGATCTTTTAATTTTAAATTCTGAGTCCGATACTTCATCTCTCACAAACACCTGAAGGAGGACTGAGGCTCCAAAAGCTTGTGCTTTCAAATAAATCTGTTGGGCTATAACCTGGTCTTGTGTGATTTCTGACAGGTTGGTTTTTAAACAGCCAAACTCAGGGCATTATTGACCCATCCCCAATAACAATGAAGAAGGTGGTGATCAGCACCCTTCTTGAACTACTGCAGTGCATCTGTTGTAGGCACATAATGCTGTTAGATGTGAGTTCCAGGGTTTTGACCCAGTTACACTGAGGGAACAGCAATATAGTTCCAAGCTAGGATGGTGTGTGGCTTAGCCAGGAACTTGCATGGTGATGGTGTTCCCATGAATCTGCTGCCCTTGTCATTCTAGGTGATAGAGATCATGGATTTGGAAGATGCTGTCAAAGCAGGTTTGCTGTGTCTTGTAGAAGATATTATGCTGCAGCTACTGGATATTGATGGTGGAGGGACTGAATTCTTAGGTTGGTGGATGGAGTGCTCATCAAGTACAATGCTTTATACTGGGTGGTGTTGAGCTTCTTAAATGTTGTCGGAACTGCATTCATCCAAACAAAAGGAGACTATTCCATCACACTCCTGACATAGAAACATAGAAGATAGGAGCAGGAGGAGGCCATTCAGCCCTTCAAGCCTGTTTCGCCATTCTTCATGATCATGGCTAATCGACATGTGCTTTGTAGATAGGGGACAGTCTTAGGGAGTCAGGAGGTGGGTTACTTGCCTCAGAATTCCCAGGCTTTGATCTCCTTTGGGAGCCACAGTATTTATATGGTTGGTCCAGTTCAGTTTCTGGTCAATGATAGCTCGCTGAATTGATAAAGGGAGATTCAGCGACTGGGATGCTGCTGAGTTTCATGAGGAGATTTGGTATGTTCTCTTTTGCTGTACATAGTCATTGCCTGGCACTTAAATGGCAATTGAACTTTGCACCAGACTTCAGCCAAACACTGAATGTTGTTCCAGGTTTTCTGCAAAGGGACATGTTTGCTTCAGTATCTGAGAAGTAACGGATAGTGCTGAATATCATGTAATCATCAGAGAACTTCCCCATTTCTGACCTCATGTTGGAGGGAAGGTATTTGCTGAAGCAACTAAAGATATTTCAGCCTTGGACACTAACGCTGACAGACTCCCGCCATCATCTGCAGGGCAACCGTGGACTAGCATTGATAAGTATGTGGAATTTACGGGGGGAAAAGACAGGAGGAGGAGCCTTGTTTCAGGCAGGGTTGTCTCTGGCTTTTCCAGAATTGGTTTAGGAGTTGCTATCAGAGTTTAGCTGGATTATAGTTGAGTGTCTTCCTGCACAATTGTGTAACAAACATTTGATATATCCTTTCCAAGTCTGAACATTTTGTGTTTGTGCACCTGTAGGGTGAATTGTGCACTTTTTAACGGTTTATTATTCAAGGATCATTTCTCACTATTTCACCTCAGTTTCCAGTTCATGTAGGGCTGGCCATGTCGAGAAACAGGGTCCCCAAGGACGTTGCTGTGGGCTATGGGTCTGGACATCTGAGACAAAAGGTCTGAAAGAACCTGGCAGCAAGGCAAAGGAGGCTAGAAGATGGTGTTCAGTTTTTATTTTCTTTGAGCATGTGAAATGGGATGGCAGAGATGCCAGAATCAGCTGGCTGGGAGAAAGACAAACAATTGAGTAAGATCAAGAGTAGGAAATTCAGAAACTAAAAGATTGTGAAGACAGAAAGGAAGACGTACGGACACTGAAAGCGAAACCCAGCAGCCTTGTCCTGGCAACAACTGAAGAGTAAATTGCAAGTAAAAACGTAAGAAGTAACATCAGATGGATGGACACCACTGAGATGTGGACTGAGAGAGGTATGAAGAGAGCCAGGGAGGAAAGATGATGATGCAAGTAGCCCAAATATTAAGGCTTTGGTAACAACAAATAAGCGAATAGTAGTTTTTTCAGTAACACCATCCCTATTTTAGCAATCTGAAGCTACTGACTGCCATTTCTGCTTGCAGCCAGGTAGACTCCAGAGCTAGTAGCTAGGCCATGTTTGCTCTCTGTTTCTGGCCTTAATCCTGCAAGAGGAGACACACCTTTAGCGGGGGATGTGACTAAGCTCTCTTAAAAACACATCCCATCAAATTCAGGCACAGATCTACTGAACAAGCTGAACATACTGTATCTATTCGGTGTCTGAACAGGTCAGGAAGGGTTTGCAGAGGTCAATAGAATTGCCCAACTTCCACTCTGTGATTAAAAGTGCAATTACACAATATTCTCAACACTCAACACGACTTTACAACATACTGTATGATTGAATACCAAACAATGCAAATGATGTTCAAGTTGTAAAAAATAGTTATAAAAACCATTTAAATCAGAGAGCAGTTTAATAAGTTGACAACTTATTTAGATTTCTACTACTCAAGAAAAAAGAATTACTTTATATTTAGTTGGCTCTCAAAGGGCTAATATCTTGTTTGTATTATGGATCCAGGTTTTCTGCTTCTGTGATAACCAGTCACTAATTTTTCAGATAAAAGTGTATGATCACAAAATTGTGGTTTGTGAACCTCAAATGTAGATACCAACTATAAGGTTATACAATGATCATAACTTACCAAGGTAATTATGGGATACATTAAGTTCGTTAATTTCAATGTGTACTGAGCCTTTAGGGATCTGGATAACTTCTACATAACCTGAAAGAAACGTATTAATTTGATTATAGAACTTATTGTAAACAATATTTTGTACTGAAATAAACCAACCAAAAAAATTCAACCAAGTTATTAAACATAACTAGGTTATGTTAGCTACATCCATCTGGATTCAGATGCAGCTCTTCTGTTTACTATATCACAAGCAACCATCTGACAAAAATGCTTTCTTTATTTTTAGTTCGTTCTTATCAGTTTGAGTTTGTTTCATATTAATACTGCTGTAACAATGTATACATCATTTCATTGAGTTTAACTTGAGAGAACACACAGTAGACACGACACATATTCATGTAAAATGATACACATTTACACATTTACATTTAATTTTACAGAGAAAAGATCAATAGTGCCAGATTTAAAAAGAAACACTTGCATTATCAGGAAGTCAACATATGTGACATGATTACATTATTTATAGCCGGTATAACGCCCAGCTTTGGAACTAGAACTAAGTGGCCCCACATTCTCTTACATACTGTCACTAACATCACAGCAACACTGCAATTTCAGTTTAATTGCCAGATGAAAATAAAGGCTACCTTTCACTTATATAGTTTGCACATATCTTTTCACATATTTATGATTGTTCCTTAGCCTGCTTGTATGCAATTACTTTCTCCTTTGATATCTGATAAAATATAGAGATAAAGCCTAAAGTGTAGAGCTGCACCATGTAGCACTCTCTGCTGACAGCATTTGTTGCCATTTTTAGAGGGGAAGGCTGCACACACCTCTTTAAAAATAATTCACTCTGGTGGTGGACCACCAAACCATGCCTGCTGAAACAACATGAGAAGGCAAATGCTCCAAATTATTTGCATCTCTCCCCAAAAAGTCAGTGAGACAATTTATTTCGATATTGATAGACTAGTGAGAAGTGAATAAATTGAATGGCAGCCACATTTCCCCCTATTGCATATGCGGCTACAGCCTGCATTCTCTAAACTAATGCTAATGCAAGTTTCTTTCTTCTTCAGGCATGGACCCTGCTGAGCAAAGCTGCTATTACCGGAAAGGGATAACAAGGTGTAGAGCTGGATGAACACAGCTGGCCAAGCAGCATCATAGGAGCAGGAAGGCTGACGTTTCGGGCCCAGACCCTTCATCAGAAAATGGATGCTAGGCACCAGTAAGTTTACTGTACTTACGGTTTTTAGTGTCCAATAAAGCTGAGTTGAATTGTGAGTTCAGGTTGTGGATCCTACGAAGAATAAAAAAACAGGAGAGGTCCTTTGCAGGTCTAGGAGATGGAGGCTTGAGCTGGGGTAGGCTTGATTGTAGGGCCCAGAGATGCCGGCGCATTGCTGTGAGTGTGTGTTTCAGGAGTCGCAGGGAGAAACGCTTCTGAAGGATCTCAATGCTATGAATGTAGACATTGTCACGGTTGGGGCCAAATTGGGAAGGCCTGAATGTGGACTGTAGTCCATTGGGGATGATCTGGTTCCATATGCAGGTACTAAGAAAGGTGATGTGGCTGTAGTACCTGGTTTGCTTCAGGACATGGTTGAGCAGTTTCAAGGCCGAAGAGGTTACGAGATAGTTGCAGTGGGAGAGAGAAATCCCCTGAGGTTTGTGAGGAGGGTAACTTCTTCAGGCTAGGCATCCTTAGAAGAGCCTTCGCAGTAGGGTTAAAATTGTATCAGAGATAGTAGGAACTGCAGATGCTGGAGAATCTGAGATAACAAGGTGTAGAGCTGGATGAACACAGCAGGCCAAGCAGCATCATAGGAGCAGGAAGGTTGACATTTAGGGCCCAGACCCTTCATCAGAAAAAGGAGCAGGAAGCTGCTCCATCAAATAACAGACTGCCTCCTATTCAATACCCAGCAGACACCAGCATGGGAACATATGCTAAGGGAGAGCCAGGCCATGGGAACATCTGCTTAGAGAGACCCAGACACATGGGAACATCTGCTTAGGGAGAGTCAGACCATGGGAACATCTGCTCAGGGTGAGCCAGACAAGAGGAAAGAAGAAGGAATAATTGCTGAAGCATTTAACATCGGTGAGGAAGATCAAGTGAAGGTGGTATCAGATAGGCAGCAATAAGAAGAAGGGCTAAATGAGTAGCTGATGTGTAACTCAGATTTATAGTTTACCAGAACTGTGTTAATTAAGTAACAATTAATGTCTTAATGGTTCAAGCATCTTCATATCTGTACCATTAAATGTGGAGCTGTGTAATATTACTGCTTTGCTGAGTGGTTAGGAATGCTGAAGCATTTCAGAACCTGCTGAGCATCACAGCAACTCCACATACCACCTCTCCTGCACTCTTTCCTATTGAGAGTGCAAGAGCTGATACAGTTTTGCTTGCTGCGGACTTGGGCTCCTATTTACAGGAATCCTATTTTTGATTGACATGTTAGATCAAGACATTCTTGTTGACAGGCTTCATGGTATTTAACACAGCCACAAGTGTGGCCTCAATTGTAACCAGATGTTGAGGCATGGCAGAGAGACAGATGAATAAAATCTTCACTGCTTAGCATGGTGATTGATCAGCCCTTTGCAGCTGCCTGCCTCAAGATGACTGTATAAGTACAACTAAGAGACAGAAGCAGCTTGAAAGTATAGAAACTAGGGTGCATACAGGTAGAACAGGACCTATACGATGTAGAAAGATGGAACTTGCCAAGGGCACGTCAGAAAGTTTCCACTGAGGGGCAGCAATATGCAGGGAATATACAACTGAGTAGCATTGGCACACAGACATGACAATGACCAGATATTGAGTGTTAAAGGTGAAAACTGTGTCGCAGAGACTTACAGCTGGAGCAGGGAAGTAGACAAGCTTCATCTTATTTAATTTATTCATTTGTTGGCACAGTTGGTTTCTACGAAAGCTGAGCTGGGTGAAAATATGTAGAGAAACTTGTAAAGGCAGGAGGGAGTTGATGCAGCAGTGTGGTACGGCATAACAAAGTTTGTGAGAGCATATTGAGCTGTTGTGTCAGAGTTCAGCAAAGACCTCAATCTGTTCACATACAAACAGAGAAATTGCTGGAGAAACTCGACAGGTCTGGCAGCATTGTGTAGAGAGAGAAACAGGAGCTCTGATTTTCGCCAGCTATTTCTGTTTTTGTTTGTTTCAGATCTCTACCATCCTCAGTTCTTGGTTTTATCTCAATCTGTTTATGTGGGCGTCTGCATGTTTAGTTCTTTCTCCTCCATTAGCTTGTTGCCTTGGGTTTCCTTTCTTTCAACAGCAAAACTAATGCAACACACAAAATGTATAGATGACTTTGGACACCTTCCTGGGAGTTATACAGCAGAACTGCACCTAATCTGTGCAGAAAGTGGAAGCATTATCTCAAGACGGCACTCACACTTTCCATTGGAATTCTGGTAGTGTATGGGTTTCATTGAGCATATCCTCAATTCTCTAATACAGGTTCTTTGCTGAAAGTAACAGCTAGCAGATCTATTCTGTTCCAAGTTATCAATTGAGTTTGCCTGCTCCTTCCAATTATGATGACATCATGCATTGTCACAGTGGAAGACAATACATTTGTAGCCTCTGTACGTTGCAGTCCACTTAACACTATTTTTTTCCAGCAGTTTGAGACCATCAGACAGATGGAGGAATGGTTTCCTTGGAGATTTTTTGCAGGCTTGTTGTTAGACACCCATTTAAGGGCCTTATCCCAACATGCGAGGAGCCCCGAAGGCCAAAAATGTTTTGGTTTTGCTTGTGGTTACCTCAGGTGGGGGACTTATTCCTTTTAGCTTGGATCAAGTAGATCAAGCCGAATTGAGGATCAAGTGAGTCTGAAGTAGGCAAACAGTTAGAAAACAGTCACACTTGGTCTAGTATTTCTTAGGTGTGTCTATCTTAAAACAAAGGTGGTGAATATTCAAGTCACCTGTGCATTACAAGAAGCATTCTGTCCCTTGCTGGGAGGTTGAGTAGACAAAATAGGCTCCAGGACGTTCATTGTCTTGTTTCCAGTATCTCTGTTGGAGAAGGTACGAGACATTGGAGGGCTAAGAATATTTGACACTGGGTCAAAATCCTGGAATTCCTTCCCTAATGGCATTGTGGGTCAACCCACAGCATGTGGACTGCAGCGGCTCAAGAAAGCAGCTCACCACCACCTTCTCAAGGGCAACTAGGAATGGGCAAGAAATGCTGCCCAGCCAGTGACACCCACATCCCACAAATGAATAGAAAAAAAACCTACAGTTTCTGCAAAATTCACCCAAGGGATGAGCTTAAGCTTCTGATCTGTGCAGTTGTAATATTTTAGCCAATTAATTCTCAATTTGCTCTTTAGTTTTGGATATAGGATTTTCATACATAATAGTAATTTTTTAGACACATCTGTACTTTTAAGTTAACATATTATCATGCCAAAGCATAGTTAAAGACCCAGTAGAGGCATATTTTCTCAATAATTACTATTCAAGCATTTTTGTTGAAAGTTTAACAAGGCTCTGTGCCAAAAGTATGAATTATTAGGTTTCTTTATAGCACAATGTTTAAAATAATATTGATCTAGATAATCTTTGACATAATTATCTTGTATGCATCACTCATTCAATTTCAATTAAAATATCATTGAATTCAGGATACACTAATAGATTTACGGATGTACTATTCAATATGAAATTTAAAATCCAGCTGGGTTTTACATTCATAAAAGGGTCCACAAGAGAAATTTTGCATTAACTTGCAGTAATATCTTAGAGTTGTTTGAGCAGCAATTATAGGTATCTGAATGATAAGGTGGTCTTGCATAACCATTTGTGTGATGTCAACCGGAGGAGATGGGGCAGGGAAGATTACATCAAAATATACAAAAAGGCAACTTTATAAACTTCACATTTGTAACTTTTTTAAAAAAAAATCTATGGTAAAGTGAAAGCATAAAGGTGGTCATGTTGCCTGTTTTGAAATCTGTCCGACAGGTCACTTTGTAAAAACCAAAAGAACTGCGGATGCTATAAATCAGAAACAAAAACAGAAGTTGCTGGAAAAGCTCAGCAGGTCTGGCAGCATCTGAGAAGAGAAATCAGAGTTAACGTTTCAGGTCTGGTGACCTTTTTGAGGAAGGGTCACTGGACCTGAAACGTTAACACTGATTTCTCTTCACAGATGCTGCCAGACCTGCTGAGCTTTTCCAGCAACTTCTGTGTTTGAGCCAGCTTTGTAACTAGGTTTTTAACAGTTAAAGAAGGTCCATGTGGTTTTAGTGATAAGGTGTGAGGCAGTCATGTTTGTAAACAATGAAAGGGCCAGCTGTGGCCTTCTACTGGAGAAATTATTAGGAAAATTAGGAGTTTAGGAATTAGAAAATTGGGAAGTATTAGGAATGATGGCTTTTGTTAAGGGCTATACTTTAACCTGATGTTAAATTTCAAGATAGAATGGAGTTGGGCATTTCGAACGTCATTAATCAGTATTTCTACCTGGACAAACCATTAAAAGCCACTGTAGTATTGACTTACAGGGTTTTCTTAACATATTCCTGCACCTCTCGACTGGTCAGTGTCCATAAATCTGGAAGGAAGAGGGAGAAGGGCAGAGGGAGAAAGACAGAGTGAGAGAGAGATGAGAGAGAGAGAAGTGTGTGAGAGAGAGCAAGAGAACAAAGAAAAATAGAGGCAGCTAGACTTGCACCTTAATCATGACCTCCTGTAAGCATTAATTACCAGATTAAAATCAGATTTGACTTACCTCCCTGAGGACTGGAGCCATTAAAAATTCCTTCTATGGTTTCACAAGTGCTCCCATCACCACCACAGACTCGACATCGATCCTCCTTCACATCTGAACCTAAAGTATGATCACAGCCCACGTGCTCCAAGGGAAGTAAAAGCGAAATATAAGATTGTTCTGTTAAGACTACAGTCTTTTACAATACCTGTTATATTTGGGTATTTTAATCAATTCTTTCGGAACGTTTCAAACAATGTCCTTTTTAGGCATTTAGGCACTTCAATAAAATAAAATTACATCCTACATAAAGACTTTTAATATTTGACCACACACATTCAACAAAAAACTGTAAATCAATCCAACCCAATCATAACACTTCTATATACACATTGCATACATTATATATGTAATATATATATATGAACATTTGGCTAAAGTCCCCTTCTATAATATGAATTGAATTTGGTTGGGGGTGTGGCAGAGAATGTATGAGAGCTTTCCTTTTGCCTCCCAATTGCCTATTATATCCCTTAGTGTGCTTCCCACAACTTCCAGGTGGAAGGTGGCAGTAAGCAAAGGGACTGTTATTATCCTTCTCCCTCTGGGGTTAAAAACTTATCTGTTGAATGAACTAGTCTTGACCAAAGTCTTCAGATGGCTTTGGTGACAATCTTCAGCAAGCTTTTGTGACACAACCTCTATCACCAATTCTTCTGTCACTGCAGCAGCTTTTTTGACAGCAATAGACAGAATTCCAACCCCAGAAAACCACTTCCCCAAAGAGTAGAATCCCAGTCTGTGTGTCCTTCTCAAGGCTGTTAGCAGGAAAAGCAAAAAAGACCTCAGTGCACGTTGCATTGGGATATGAATGAGAGAAAACTTTCATTTTAGTTGGCTTCTAAAATCTTTTTGAAGTTTAAAATGTAAGCTAGGAAAACAATATTGCAACTATTTTTTGTCAAACGTTGCCTCTTGTGAAAAACCTTTATTTGTATCTAAGTTTCAACTGAAAACTTTGACAAAAAATTAATGAAGATCAAAACCAGAGAGTACATACTAGAGATAATAAGGTATAGAGCTGGATGAACACAGCAGGCCAAGCAGCATCAGAGGAGCAGGAAGGCTGACGTTTCGGGCCTAGACCCTTCCTCAGAAATGGGGGAGGGGAAGAGGGTTCTGAAATAAATAGGGAGAGAGGGGGAGGTGGATAGAAGATGGATAGAGGAGAAGATAGGTGGAGAGGAGACAGACAGGTCAAAGAGGCAGGGATGGAGCCAGTAAAGGTGAGTGTAGGTGGGGAGTTAGGGAGGGGATAGGTCAGTCCAGGGAGGACAGACAGGTCAAGGGGGTGGGATGAGGTTAGTAGGTAGGAGATGGGGTTGGGGCTTGAGGTGGGAGGAGGGGATAGGTGGGAGGAAGGACAGGTTAGGGAGGGGGGGACGAGCTGGGCTGGTTTTGGGATGCGGTAGGGGGAGGGGAGATTTTGAAGCTTGTGAAGCCCACATTGATACCATTGGGCTGCAGGGTTCCCAAGCAGAATATGAGTTGCTGTTCCTGCAACCTTGGGGTGGCATCGTTGTGGCACTGCAGGAGGCCCAGGATGGACATGTCGTCTGAGGAATGGGAGGGGGAGTTGAAATGGTTCGCGACTGGGAGGTGTAGTTGTTTAGTGCGAACTAGACATACTAGAAACATTTTTGAGTCTTTTTTTCGAAACCCATTTCCCTTACAGCATAACTTTAATTGGCTGAAAGAAAGTGTACAGGTGCGTGGCATTTTAATTTAAATTGATAATAATTTGTTTGGATTCACAAAATTAAATGCTCCACAGAAATTTGATATTTAGTGAGCTAGCTGTTAAAATAAATAAATGAAATTGGATTTAGTTGAGCATGTGGTTACTCGTTGGGCATACAACTGAGAAACAAGCAAGAAAAGGGATAGTAACATACCTTACATTCTCCATTGACACATATATCAAGCGAGTCCATACGACACAAGGTACCATCCACTACAGCTGAAGCACGTTCAGTATAGAAATTGAAGCCCATGGCTAGACAGTTCAAAGCACAGGGTTTCACACCACCTGTATTTAAAGCAAGTAGTTAGAACCATTTTCTGTGTAGAAGGAGGAAAGGAAGTCAGGATGACAAAATTCTTTACAGAAACGTGGGGGGATTTGCATGTGTAGTTCTAAACTAATAAGCCGTAGAATGAGAGTTCTAATTCCACCAGCTAGCTTGAGAATTTGAATTGGGTTTAAAATCTGGCGATGAAGCATTTGGATCGCTGTAGAAACATGTGAGGGGAGGTGATGACCTCGTGGTATTATCACTGGACTGTTAATCCAGACACCCAGTTAATATTCTGGGGACTGGCATTCAAATCCTGCCAAGCAGATGGTGGAATTTGAATTCAATAAAAATCTGGAATTAAGACTCTAATGATGACCTCTTGGGGAAAGAGTCTAATCTGGAACTAAATGTCTAATGTTGACTGTGGGGGAGAAAAAAACCTATCTGGTTCACTAATGTCCTTTAGGGAAGGAAACTGTCATCCTTACCTGGTCTGCCCTACAAGTGACTCCAGATCCACAGCAATGTGGTTGACTTTTAACTGCCCTCTGGGCAATTAGGGATGGGCAATAAATGCTGTTACTAGACAGTGATGCCCTCATTCTACGAATGAATGATAACAATCACGACTGATTCTCGACTGTCATTTTGGAGTTGAAACTTGACCATTCTGGACTATATTTGACTTCAGTCCAACAGCAACATGGTTGACTTTTAACTCTCCTCTTAAACCACATCAAAAGCATCAATGAAGCAGTGAAGGATATTTGCTAAGACTGTACAGGACTTGCACATTGACAGAAATGAAGTGCCAATGTGTTCATTTGACATTGCTAGCCTATTCACCAACGTGCAGATACATGCACTACAGAATGATATCACAATGAACTTAACTTGCCACCATTGTGTGAGTTATTACTCATTGAAAATATTAACTCAGCAACTCAGCAGCTGAAGTCAGTTTTAACAGCAGCGAGTGTGCCCAAATACATGGTGTTGCCATGAGATCCCTACTAGGCCCAGCTCTCACTAACATGTTCGTTGCTTTCAATGCAAAACAAGTTTTTGATGGAATGACACCTAACCACCTATCTCTTGCTTATTTCCAATGTAGATGATATGTTGCTATATTTGAATCCACTATTGCATGTATGAATTTCCCTACAATGAATAACTATCCAGTGCTCAAATACAGCTTTGAAATTAAGCAGTCAAGTGAGCTCCCCTTCTTAAATGCCCTTAAAAAATATTGGCCAGGGTTCTTACTACTGTCTACTGCAAATCTACATTCACTGGTCAATGTACATATTGAGATTCTTATAGTTTCACCTGCTGTAACACTGGCCTGATCAGCCAACTTGTAACTAGGGGCAAAGCCATTTGTTCACTGTACAAGCTTGATGCTGAATTAGGCACACAAAAGACATCCTGCAGGAGATAGTAGGAACTGCAGATGCTGGAGAATCTGAGATAACAAGGTGTAGAGCTGGATGAACACAGCAGGCCAAGCAGCATCAGAGGAGCAGGAAGGCTGACGTTTCCGGAAGGGTCTAGGCCCGAAACGTCAGCCTTCCTGCTCCTCTGATGCTGCTTGGCCTGCTGTGTTCATCCAGCTCTACACCATGTTATCTCAGACATCCTGCAGGATACAGGTTGTCATGATGTGTTCACTTCTCAAGATGCATCATGCAAACTCATGAACGGGCCTAAGTATCCTGAAAAGTGTCCTGTTGACCTCAGAAGGATTTAATTCCCCCTGCTTCATAAAATGTCTGAACAGGTTGATTGAAAATATCTAAAAAGGTCGTGTTCCTTTACGGTGGTATTTCTTATGAATGACCTGACGAGTACAAGACAATAAACTTTGACAAGATGCGTTCATTTTCAGAATGCTGCTCCAGAGGCTGAGACCTTGATTTTGGGACTTGGCCCAATTGTTGTGTCCCGTCAATGCCTTCTCGCCTCTATCTGTGTTTTGAGGAGGAAGACGAATTGAGAAAGACCAGACTGGTCAGGCAGCAGAAGTGAAAGTTGGAAACTACAAAAAAAAGCCACTAATGTCTGTCAACTCAGATGATCCTATTTGAACTTTTCTGGTGCCTAATCTGCATGAGCGTGTGTTTGGATCTTGTGTAAGCAAGTTTCATTAGATCTAGAATCTAGATTAATCAACGCCACCACACTACCAGCATCAATAAATAACTTGAACTTTCCTCACAGGCTCCTTTGGGACAGTATTAAGTATAATACCGCATTAAGCAGGTTATGGATGTGATGTTTTTACACTTTGACGTTCGTCTTACCTCCGTGGTATGGTTTCCAGTCATAATACTTCCCACGAAATGCGATTTTATTAAATTCTGCACACTGCTTTTCTCGGAAGTCCTGAGACCCTGGTGGACAGTCCTACATAAAGCAGGGAAAAGAAACATTGTCAGATTGCAACATTCAAAAAAGAAGGAGAAAATCAAGTTAAATTAGAACATAGATCCTTTACCATTTTAAATTTCAATTACTCTCAGTTTACGGAGACTAAGACGGAACATTTTAGAGGAGTGTTTATTATAGGAAATCAGTTGTAGATTTACTAATATCAGACATTGAGCGTACAACGTTTGCCAAAGTTTGATGCGCTGTGACAGATTGGGTGGTTTGGAAATTTTCACCCAAGAGATCCTACTGCATGAGATTTTGGCACACATAGTTATATATACTGTATAATTTTGTTGACGTAAAGTTGCCTTAAATTAAATGGAGCCTTTTACTTTGAAAATAGATTAATTTTAAGAAGGAAACTGTCAAGGAGTCAATACGTTCCTCCCACAACTAAATATTGACATCTTAAAATGATGCCACACGCAGTAAAATAAGCTGAAAACTGAACTGACACAGTTGACACCTACTAGTCATCCTGAGTTCTAGGGTCAGGCTAAACTGAGCTTTATTAGACAGACCATTGACTTGGTGCAACAGCCTAAAACATGCGTTATTGAGTCAATAGCAGCTATTATGTTTCTTCTCATTTTTATTTCAATTCAAATTATTGGAAAAATTGTGGAGAGATGTAAATTGGGCTGGAGATGCATCATTACATATCCCATACTGACGAAAATTCATAATTTACTTATCTTCTGTTAATAGAGAAGCATCATTTTTTGTTAAAATGTCATTTTAAAGATAACTCATTAATAATTTGATTACATCAATGAATAGTAGCTTGCTTGTATTAAAGGCATAACAAAATTTCTCAATATAGAGTTCATAGAATCCCTACAGTGTGGAAACAGGCCCTTTGGCCCAACAAGTCCACACTGACCCTCAGAGCATCCCATCCAGACCCATCCCCCTATAACTCACCTAATCCACTCATCCCTGAACACTATGGGCAATTTAGCATGGCAATCCACCTAGCCTGCACATCTTTGGACTATGGGAGGAAACTGGAGCACCTGCAGGAAACCCACGCAGACACAGGGAGAATGTGCACAATCCACACAGACAGTCACCTGAGGGTGGAATCAAACCCAGGACCTTGATACTGTGAGGCAGCAGTGCTAACCACTGAGCCACCGTGCCACCCTAAACAGAAGATGATGAGGCACAGTAAAATTTGATGTTATCTCGTTGTAACAAATGGTCTGTGGACTTTGCTTTCTTATGATTTTTAAAAAAGTGAGTCATTCATCAGATGTGCCCATGGCTGGCTAAGCCAGCATTAATGCTCATTTCTAATTGTGCTGGAGGAGTTGGTAAGTGAGCTGCCTTCTTGAACTGCTGAGGTTCTCACTCAAAGGGCTATTAGGAAGAGTGCTCCAGATTGCAGAGTGACAGTGAAGGAATGGTGATACAGTCCAAAACCTGAAATAGTGTGTAGCTTGGAGATGGTGGCATTCCTATGTATATGCTTTCCATGCCCTTTCAGGTGGTAGAGATTATGGATTTGGAAGGTATTGTCAAAGCAGTCTTGGTTAGTTTTTATCATGCATTTTGTAGATGGTACACACTGTTGCCACTGTCCTTCAGTGGTGAAGGGAGAGAATATTGAAGTTGCTGGGTGGGGTGCCAATTAAGTGAGATGCCTTGATCGTGTCAAGTTTTTTGCATATTGTTGGACCTATACTGATCCAGGCGAGTGCAGAGTACTCTATCATACTCCTGACTTGTGTCTTTGAGGATGATGGACAGATGTGGGGGAAGTGAGTTACTCACCACAGAATTCCTAGTCACTGATTTACTCTTGTAGCCAAAATATATAAAAAGCTGGTGCAGTTTAGTTTCTGGTTAATAGAAATTGCCAGGATGTTGATAAAGGGTGATTCAGTGATGGTATCCATTGAATATCAATGGGCAATGGTTAGAATCTTGCTGGTTGGGATGATCTTGTCTGACTTTGGCCTGGCACTTGTGTGGCACAATGTTATCTGCCACTTATCAGCCCAAGCCTGTCTAGGTCTTGCTGTATATGGCAATGGACTGTGTCAGTATCTGAGGAATCACAAATGGTTCTGGCAATTGTGCATCTCCAGTTCTGACCGTATGAAGGTGGGAATGGTCATTGATGAAGCAGCTGAAGATGGTCGGACCTAGGACACAACCCTGAGGACTGAGGCAACTGACCTTCAACAATCATAACTATATTCCATTGTGCCAGGTATGCCTCCAATCAGTGGAGATTTTTCCGTCTGATTCCCATTGAAACCAGTTTTGACAAACCTCTTAGATGTCAACCTCAGCCAAATGCTGCTTTGATGTCAGGGGCATTTAATCTCCATTGCCATCTTGAGTTCAGTTTTTTTGTCCATGTTTGGACTAAGGTTGTACTGAGGTCAGGTGGAACCTGAATTGAGTATCTGTAAGGTTATTCTTTGGAATATGACTTGAAGGCTCTATCAATGACTCTTTCTGCCACTCAGCTGATGATCGAGAGTCGACCAGGGCGATAATTATGGCTGGTCTTCTACTTAATTGCCATTTTCTCTAATTATCCCAATATCCCTTCATGCCTTTGATATTATAAAGTTACAATCCCTGTCTTGTATATATTCAATGACTGAACCTTCACAGTTTTGCACAATGCAGTTGATTTCCTACAGTTTTACTCACAGGCAAAGAGGAGGAAATAATTTGCTTGTTAATCTGTCCCCTTTTCCTCATCTCTAATTCTCTATTTCTTTACTTATTTTAGTTTCTTTATGGTTTCTATAGCATGGTCTCAGTTATTCAATAATTGGTATAGTAGCTTGCTGATTATAATCCTGAACTTTCAATCCAAAAGTACTGAGTTAAAATTGTACCATGACAAGTTGGAATAATGAGCTGAATGATATCTGCGAATGCGTGGGTCAGTAAAATCTTGTTTCCTTCTCAAGAAAGGGAACTTGTTGCCTTAGCTTACACATCCACACCATTTGGTTGTCGCCAAAGCCCTCACACTATACCTCAGAAATTCTATCAGTTTGTAAAATTCATTACTAACTAAAAAGAATCAAATAAAAGAAAGTATTGAAAACAGATGATTCTGCACAATTTCAAAATGATCTTAGGCACTTTATCAATTATAATTTCATGCGCAAACTTAGCATGCAGCACTGAATTACAGCATGTCATGTTATTGATAAGTCACATATGTTGGAAGCGGTTTATCGCTGATACTATTGTAATACTTCATTGCATTGTGTCCACTTGTGTCCTCAAGGACGAACTAGGCACAATCCCTGAAGATGCTGAGTGTCCCACTTCACAATATGCAACAACACTCACCCTCCCAGTAATGAGCACTGGTACAAATGTTTCCTTCTGAGATATTAAGCAGGAAAGCACTGGTTAGAACACACAGTATGAGTGAAAAGGAGCAAGTGCAGATGGCAACAAAGGATCAGGAAAGATGTTGATTGTGGGCTAATGTTACTGTTAGCTTTTGAATTCTGGATCTGATGTTATTGAAGGCTTGTTGTAAAAGCACCTTGCTTTCAGAGGACCATTAATTCAATGATGCAGATCTCTGGGTACTTGAAGTTTCTGTTAACTGATGCTGCAAACACTTTGAGTTCCAATATATGGGGGGTTGGCTCAGCTGCAAAGTTGCTGCAATGACCCTAACGTTAATCTTCAACGTCCTGTATGTACCGCGAAGAATTTTAACTGTACAATAACAGGATATGCAAGGAAGTGGCAATAAGAGGTAAATGAAATGAAAGCTGAGGAAAGAAGAATTATAGTTCTCTTCCTGAGTGCAAAACATTTCTTCACTATACAGGTTCACTAACAGTTCAGCTATCTCCTTTCTAGAAACCTGAAGATGACAGCTCTTGAGAAAACTTGGTAATGCAAAGAGACTTATTACCAAGGTAAAAACACAGGAATGTTGAATTATTTGCATTAGCATGCATACACTGTGACACAGAGTGTTCTGGGAGATATAATTAGAACAGTACATCATCACATGTCGCATCTGGGAGTAATAGAATCATTCCATAACCTGTGGACATTCCGAGAAATATTGGTCCCCCAAGATAATGGAATTGTTGCATAGAATAACACACAAATGATGTCACCAACACAGGCTGTTCAACTTACATAAGATCAGATTGTCCTAATTCCATCTATTACTCATTTCATATATATTTACCTTTCTCTCAGCTATCCACTCATCCTTGAAATTTGATACCATTTGCTTTGATCCTTAATTCAGGTAATTCATTTCACAGCCATACAGTTACCATGTGAAAAGATTTCTCCTGTTTTTTGGACTAAATGTTTTATGCATAACTGTGTATCTATACCTCCTCATTCCAGATTCCTCAATCACTGGAAATAATCATTTCCTATCTCTCTGGTGCCGTTCTTTGATAAAATCACCAATAATTTGCTCTGAACCATGAATGTGTTCCCAATTTTTGAAGTCCTTTCCACTTCAGGTCAATGTGTCGTGTCCATGTCTCCTGGCTCAACAATGTACTTACACTATGGAGCTTCAAACTGAACAGCCATTGCAACTATGCTTTTCTTGAAGTATAAACAGATTCACAATACATCTTAAAATTCATATTTTACACCTTTTGCCATTAAACTCAGTATAACTTTAACATTTTGTAGCCTTAACCACTTGTAGCTCTGTTCTTAATGTCTTGTCAATCTGAACCTGGGATAGATCTAATGGGGCACCAGGGTCCTCCATCCTGTGGTGAAAAAGCCAGGTATGAGTTTGCCACCACTTTGATAGCTTGTCCCACCCCATTAAACAATCACCTGGCTGCTAATTCGTTAAGGTGAAACCTCTTTCCCATCTGGCCTTGGAGAGTCGATGGGAGATCAAATGGGTGGCAGCTCTCAGCTCCCATCACCATCACAGGAAGCTGTGGGGTATGGTGGGACTGCATCCCGTTCCCAACAGCAAGGATCCAATG